CACTGTCACCTCTCATGGCACCGTCTTAGGTACAAATCTTAGACACAAGAGGAAAAGAGAAGAAACAAAAGTTGCATTACCTTGCAGTAGTAGAAGTTAGAAACAAGACGTAGTTAAAAAGATAAACAGATTACAGATAAACATGACACTGCAGCAGAGGGGCTTCCACACATGGTCTGACTGACTGCCCTCGCCAGACCTCACTGCAACAACCATCCCCGCTTCAGCTCCAAGATTCAGAATTCCCTCCCTTCACCTCACCGTCTCTCTACCTCACTTTTCTCCTTTACGTTGCTCGTAAAACCTACCTCTTTGACCCTGGGTATTTTAAATTGTTGGCTCAGTGTCATATGTCCATGTTCCACTGTCAGTGGATCAGTGCTAAGGAAGTGACACACTGTTGACAAGGCACAACAGGATAAGAACCAGCTCACGTGTTTTGTAGTGGCATTAGCTGACGGATAGAGATCGGCTCTCAAACACTGACGAGAGAAAGCCTGGCCTGCTTCTACTAATGGCCCCTGGATTATTTACAACCAAGCGAGGGAAGTTGGGACTTTGATTTAGCATTTCAAAAAGATGGTACCTCTGCCAGTGCTGCGCAATCTCTACTGCCAACTGGAAGTTGGGGAGGCGATGGCCTAGTGGTATTATCACTGGATTGTTAATCCAGAGGCCCAGATAACGTTCTGGGGACCCAGGTTCCATTCCTGCCATGGCAGATGGTGGAATTTGAATCCAACACATATTGGGAATTAACAGTCTAATGATGGCCATGAATCACTTGTCGATTGTTAGGAAAAACCCATCTGTTTCACAAATGTTCTTTAGGGAAGGAAACTGCCACCGTTTCCTGGTCTGCGCCTACATGCGACTCCAGACCCACAGTGATGTGGTTGACTCTTAACTGTCCTTCGGGCAATTAGGAATGGGCAATAAATGCTGCCTGGCCAGTGACACCCTAATTCTACGAATGAATAAAGAAAAAGTAGGGCAGGCCAGGCAGCATCAGAGGAACAGGAAAGCTGATGTTTCGGGTTGGGACCCTTCATTTCTGAAGAAGGGTCCCGACCTGAAACATCAGCTTTCTTGTTCCTCTGATGCTGCCTGGCCTGCTGTGTTCATTCAGCTCCACACTGTTATCTCAGACTCCAGCATCGGCAGTTCTTACTATCTGTAAGAAAAAGTCAAAATAGCTTTATTTTGAGTTTATAAGAGCAGAAAGGCCCATGGATCCTCAAAGCCTAACGTGCAAAACAGGAACAGCGGAGAACATTTTTAAAATTTATAAATCAACTTTTATTACAGTACTGTGAACAATGCTTCATATTGTACAAGCTCTCTTTACGATACCGTATAAAACAAGTTGTCATTTCAAAGTTTACAGGACAATATTTTTTTCTTTCAAAGATATGTACAGAAAATTGTCAAACTTCATTTTCTACAAATCAACAGAAAAGGAGGCAGAACAAATTCTTCACCTCAGAACAGAAACATAAATAAAGCAGAAATCTGCATCAAGATCAGGCAGAGGGGTTAAACCCAGCCCCATCGCATATAGATAGATTATGAAAATAAAGATTGTCTGGGTCTGAATGGAATGCCTCCCCCAAACCACTGAGAGACCCAACAGCAGGCTTCCCTCCACAGCCCCACGCACCTCTCTCATTCCCTCTTGCAACGGCAAGGAAGGATGCCAAAACCAGCCTCTCCCTGGGCAGCTCCAGTTGAGGGGAGAAAGGTCAGTGGCACCGGGAGCCAAGTGCCACCCGTTCTCTCCGCCCACTGGCGTCTGGTGGCAGTGCCCTGAGAGTAGTATTTAAAGCAGCGGGTGGGCCCTTGCTGGGAAATGGTCACCAAGGAAGGGCAGCAAGGAAGGCAAGGTCACCAGCGACGACCTCTGAGGCCCCGTGTACTTGCCCGATAAAAACGTGAAGGCAATTTCCCACCCCAAGCAGCTGCCTGCTGATAAGGAGGTGCCATGACTAAGCGATTTATCCTTTCTGGCTGACTGCTCGAAGGACCTTTTGGAGGTTTCTCAATGGACATAAAAGTGACCAGTAAACACCACATTCCAGCAGCTCCTGTGTTGCATCTTATCCTGAGTGGGAAGGGTGTGCCCTGCAACAGACGTGCATCTCTCCCAAATGGAAGGGCATCTTGCTGCAGGGGTAGCCTACTTCAGAATGGACCTTTCATCGACAAACAGGCCAAGCGTGTGCAAATCAATTACAATGCAGAAAGGACAAGGCTAGCTGTTCACCCTTTAGGGGAGATGACCTGACTGCGTATTTCCCCCAACATCTTATTCCAGTTGGGATTCTGCTTTCGGATGGAAATTAGCTCCACAGAGCTCCGGACTTCGGTTTATGGAGGAAATTAGCAGGGCTACAAGAAATACCAGAGAGCAGGATCTACCCTCTAGCTTCTGTGAAAAGCAGAAGCACAGTGGCACAAACTGATATTGTATTATTCTCTAACAGTGTTAGATAAACAGAACATGGGAGAAAATCAAAATAAAAAGAGACAGAAGGAGTCTGCTCTTCATCTTCCCTGTTGCCAAATGCTTTAGGATCAATTGGATTTCAAGGACAGTTTTGATTGATCCCATCACTGAGGCAGAGAGACCACCAGGGAACGCATCTGGGAGAAGCTTTCGAAATGTGATGCCGGGGGTGTTTTTAATAGTACTTGTATTTGCAAAACACCGACAAATGGTCAGGTGGCATTCAGAAATAAGCCAGCTGGATACAGGGCTGTGGAAGGGCCTTCTGAAATTTACCCTGCAGAGCCACTTAGTGGCCAACACCCAGAACTATACTGTCACAGTTGACATTGAATAAAAGTGCATGGGAAATTCTGCAGCAAGTTTTAGCGGGATGGTAAAAGACTGGTTAAAAATAAAAACGGCCCAGGTGGTGAGGCTTGTGGATAGGAATGCACACTCCTGCACGAGAATTTTTCATACATCTAATTAATGTGGGAGAGGAGAGGCTAAAAGGGGAAAGAACTCTCCTGTGGGACTCGCATTCCCTTTTAAGATTTCAATTTGTCAACCTTAAACAATGAAAACAGACTACAAGGTACACTCAGCTGAGATCCCCAATAAAATACGTACAAAGTCAAATCTTATAAAACGATGAAGCACCCAAAACCCTCATTCCTTCACCACCCTTCCACGGTGATTAAACCTCCCATCTCTTTACTGAGGTTTCCACGATAAGGGAGTCACTGACCCCAGTGTAAAAGGTTGATCAGTAACAGCGGCTGACGGCAACTCTGGCACAATCATAAACAAACTGATTTCAGAGAATAATGACTTTTTGTTTTTAAAAAAAAAACTAAAAACAGAAACCTTTCAGCTGAAGTTTTGTTTGATAAGAAAAGCACACTTTAAAACAAAATACTAAATCAAATGTCCATTGTAAGTCCCCAACTAGAACGTTGGCTAAGGTGCAACATTCAGAGCAGACCGAGACTGTCAAGTGTGGCTGGTAAGTGGGACCTTTAAACACAGGCTCCCCCCTCTGGGCTCCTTCCACACTACCCATGAGCTTCGAAACAATTCTTCTGAGACACAACTGGGCAGCAATTGCCTTTAGATAACATCCACTCCTGACGAGCAGCAGATGCTGGCCTCTCCAGTGATGCCAGGTATCCCAAAGAGAAAACGCAGAACCCACAAGAGGAAGAATTTGGATCTTGAAATGGTCATGCAGATCCCAAGGTTTGAGAAGGGAAGCTGTGGGTTTAATTTCTTAGCCAACGGCTTTCCAGAGGGGCGTGGGCCTCACGTGCCCACAGGACTGAGCCCAAATTTCAGAGTTCCGAGCTCCAAGTTAGCAATTGCCCACTATGGACCTCCAACCAATCTCACAGTCCCACTCCCCTCCAGACGTCTCAGGTTTTCTCCGAGGGGTCAGAACAATTTCCAAGATTCAAAGTGGGTCACATTGGGGAAAATATTTGGGACGCCTGTGTCTACTCTTGATCAGCTGGAGGCATTTGGATCCAGCGCCTATGGTCTCCTCCCCTAGGCTACACAGTTACAAGCGCATGGTGGAGGTGTGGAAGAGCACAGGGACACCCCACTCGCTCACAAGCAAAACTGGCACCAAAATAAAATCCGAAAGAGTGTGGCTGGCAGCCTGTTACAAGGCAGCGACAGTGTGCTTGCTACTCACTAATCACAAGGAGATATTCACCCACACAGAGCACATTGACAGATGAGAGAAAGGGTCCAAAACCCTAGGACCACACCTCCATCCCTGCTCCCCAGGTCTACTGTGGAGCAAGCCTGGGATGGGATTCGACACACCACGTCGCCAGGGAAACAGAATCCTTGACAAGGAACTTTTAAAAATAAAAACCGGTCATGAACTAACCCTTTTCCCCACCGCGAACCCCAGAAATGGGCTGCACTCCGCTATCAGTGGCTTCTCCAATGCATGGAGCTCAGCAGCGTGCCCCTGCCACCAGGACGCACCAATATGGTGACAAAGTTAAAGGCCCAGCCACTTTGGCTGTGCCTACAAGTCCACGCTGCTAGAGAGAGAGGGAGAGAGAGAGAGAGAGAGAGAGAGAGGGAGGGGGA